GGAATAACTGTTCGGGTCAGCAAGGCCAGAGGAAGGTCCACCGTGTCCAGATACTCCGTGATGAACGGATGAAGGGGGAACCCTAAGCCCCTTAGCAAAACTCATGGGATATACCCCAAAATACCCCACCGGAGGATTGAGTACATGATCCATCGTCTTGGGCGCCCTAATCTTACCATACGACCCCACATACATCTGAGCGACCAAGTATTCACATGTGTTGCTCTACGTCATGATGATGTAAACATTGGCAAGATCCAAGTAGGAGATGCCCCGAACTTTCTTCGGCCGACGCCTCCTCTTCGACGGAGTTTTCCCTTTGACGACAAAGAAGGGATTAGGGCACAGAATGGTGGCCGACGTGGATGCTCTGTCCACAGTGCGCACACGAGACTCCAACGTCCTCACCCGCAGAAGACGAGGCAACTTCCTCGTCCATGCTTTCCTCGTTCATCTGCTCCCCTGATTTCAAGGAGCTCATATCATCAATCTCCTCGCAACACTCCACCACTACTTGGTAATCAAGGGACTTAGCAGAGACCTCATCGTCGTACGAGTAGTACTCTTCGTCCAAGGACTTCACCATAACAACTACTCAAAGCCCTAAGGTGGACTACTTGGGATCTAAAAGGTTTTTGACTAACACTAGATCAAGGCCCTAAGGGAGCAAAAGATACGACAACACAGAAGAAAAAGTGAAGAACTAACCTTGAATATCGTTGAGGAATGAAGGACACCCGAACCAGGCTCTCTCTCTCTAGAAAATTGGGCAGCACTTCGTTGGCACATATCGCAAATGGGGGTTTCGCTTCGGAGAGGAGGGGTACTTATAGACCTCCTCCCAACGGTCACTACATGTGGCACCCCCAAGTGGTCACATGTATGGCCACCACCCCAAGGACCAATGAGGTTCCACCGCTTCAAAAGATGGGTCAGGCTCACTCCCAGCACTATCAGCCCAGTTCCAAGGGATACGCAACGGTTCAACGAACCAGCAAGTTGCGCCTACATCGACCGAAACATTCAACGACCACACCAAAGTAGTCAACATCACTTCAACGGCTTGCCCTATATCAGAACGCCACCTCAGCATCAAAATCCCCAAGGTGCACCCGTATCGGCCGGACATATCACCAACAGCATAGCCTCTTCAACGACCACAAAAGCAAAGTATAGTAGAACCTAACAACCATCAGCTCTCGTATAAACGTACTGCTGATAACCTCTTGAAAGCGACCTGCCTCCAAGGGTTCTCTCACAGGGTTGCATTGGTCAGGAATCGCCAAGAGGTTGGATTCAGGGGAAATACGATGATCCCACTTCGGCCTGGGGTTTTACTTTACTCCTTCACCCCTCACTCATCCTTCGGCCTGAAGTAGTGGGGGACTGGGGGACTACATCGGCTTCAACGCACAGATGAAAATTGAGAACCCAAAAAACCAAACATACAAGTACAACGATAACATTGTATCATCTGCACACCACAACATCCAAAACGTGACACACATCGTCCAAAGACATGTGAACCCCCAGCAGACACGAATCAGAACATCAATACCATGGAAACGTTCAAATCCCAAAGGTTCCGCCTTCGGCCAAAATATGAAAAACAACATCACACTCATTGGCTACTCAAGCCAGGACACCAATCGTCCTCAAGCATAAAAGCACGCACCATCCTCAGAGCAAGGACCTCTTTCGTCCACAACAGAGGCCACACAACGGCCAAATACAGAGAATAACCAGAACAATACTACGTCGGCCAAAAACGTCAAGACCACGGGAATCTACTCTCTTTCACTTTGTCTGCATCTTAGCTCAGAGAGTGGGGGACTCCTGATGGAGTATATGGGTTCAAACCCCATGACCCACATACTCAGACGAATAAGAAGCATAGCTGTCACCCAGCGGGTCCTCCATCGGCCAGATGGCCCTCCATCGGCTGGAAAGACATCAACTCAGAATATGATCTAGAACCCAGGAGCACCGGAGTGTCCCCGTCGACCTGGTCTCCGTCTGCCATGTCTCTGTCGGTCAGACCTCCGTCGGCCACAAAGAGCTCACAGAGCCGGATTTCATACTTAGCCAATTTACATACATTGTATTCGGCCCAATAGAGGCCTCTATGTAATCGGGCCTCCCAAGCCCAATACTTGGGAGCCTAGTCCACATTTTCTCTATAAATACTCCCCTTGGGGGTAGTTGTAGAGGGTTCACAAATACATTTATTACAACATTCATTGCACTTCTCCTCTAGCTCACACCTCTCTCTAAGAGGTTATACTCTATCATTTGCGGTACGACTTTAAGGCTTAAGCTGCCGGTGCGGTGGGAAGGTGGACGAACGTCCCCAAGAGGATAAAACGTGTTCTCCATTAAAGAACACTAACCAGTGCGGTACGACCTCAGGGTTTAAGCTGCCGGTGCGGTGGGAAGGTGGACGAACGTCCCTAAGAGGATAAAACATGTTCTCCATCTCGGAACACTAACCAGCGCGGTTCTTCTTCTGCTTCTGCTTCTCGTGCTCCTTCTCCTTCTCCCTCTCCCTCTTCCTCTCCCTCTCCCTTTTGCTCTTCTTCTTCCTCTTCCTCCTCCTCCTCTTCTTCTTCTTCTTCTTCCTCTTCCTCTTCCTCTTCCTCTTCGTCTTCCTCTTCCTCTTCCTCTTCCTCTTCCTCTTCCTCTTCTTCTTCTTCTTCTTCTTCTTCTTCTTCTTCTGCTCCTTCTTCTTCTGCTCCTTCTTCTTCTTCTGCTCCTTCTTCTTCTTCTTCCTCTCCTTCTTCATCTCCTTCTTCCTCTCCTTCATCTCCTTCTTCTCCTTCTCCTTCTCCTTCTTCTTCTCCTCCTCCTCCTCCTCCTCCTCCTCCTCCTTCTTCTTCTTCTCCTTCTTCTTCTTCCTCTCCTTCTTCCTCTCCTTCTTCCTCTCCTTCTTCTTCTCCTTCCTCCTTCTCCTTCTCCTTCTCCTTCTTCTCCTTCTCCTTCTCCTCCTCCTCCTCCTCCTCCTTCTCCTCCTCCTTCTCATCCTCCTTCTCCTTCTCCTCCTCCTCCTCCTCCTCCTCCTCATTCTCCTTCTTCTCCTCCTCCTCCTCCTCCTCCTCCTCCTCCTCCTCCTCCTCCTCCTCCTTCTTCTTCTTCTTCAACCCCACTGCTAACATTTGGAGCTCCAGATTCAAGCCCAAAACCATTTTTTTCATCTTCCTCGATCGACATCTTCCCATAGTCAAAAGCTATACTCTCCATGGGAAAAAGACCAAACCACACAACAAACGGACTACAAAAACATTACTCAGCACACAAAATGTTTACAACGAAACGCAAAACACCATCGGCTACAACAAGAAGCTCAGTCGGACCAGACCAATAAAAAAACAAACAAAAGCGAGACAACTATGGCCAAAATCGTACCTATATGCACTGCTTAGCCACAAGCATGCCCTACATGATATGCAATCCTTCTCTCGAGCCCTGCTTTACTGGTGATGTTCGATTGATCCCCTCTAGGGGCCAATGGTGTCGTACGCTAGGGTTTCCATCTCTCCATCCATAATATGTTATCGAGCTTTAACAACATTATGACTTATGCACACCAAAAAATTATATCTAATTGTGTTTTTAGTTAGTTTTTAGTATGATATGGTTCAATGGGTTCTTAGTTCTTCCTCATAAACAAAGGAAAAAGTAATTTGTAGTTCGGTACACATAATTTATACACACTTGTTGTACACACAATAGTTGCTTGTGTACATAAGCAGCTCATTTAGAAGCTTCTGTGTACACTGGCAGCTAAGTAGTGTGTACAACAAATGTGTACAAATTAGGTGTATGTAGCGTAGACCTGAAAAAAACGGCTCGACCTGCCCGACCCGCCCAATCCGCCCGCACAAATGGGCGGGCTTGGGCATATATATATATTTACCCACCAGACTGGGCCGACCCCTGTCCGCAATGACACATGGGCAGGCTTGGATTAGGGTGTAGGCCCGTTCAGCCTGATAGACTGATGGAGTACATGTCCCAGGAACCCCCCGCCCCACATACTCCTACTATTACATTTAGGCCCAACAGCCTTTGGTATTGGAGCCCTGGACATTATGAGGCCCCCGGTAGGCAGAGCCTTCAGACAGTCATCTACAGCCGAAGGCATCCTCCTCGATAGGATCTCACATCCACATGCGCTGGATCAATGTACCAGATACAAACGTCACATCCAACCACCGCATTTAATGCGGCCAAATGCGAATGCCAATGCCACCCCAGTTGAGGTGACCCCTCGACCGCCAGATTGTTGACACGTGTCCCTAGCTAGCATTTATTGCTGCTATAAATAGCACCCCTTTCCCCATTTGTAAACCACGCTCGATATAATTCGAATACACACTTGAACTCTTTATCTCTCTTACTTATTTGCTCTGACTTCTCTCTAAGTTACTCCCCGCAGTAACCCCCCGGATAAGTTACCCCCGGGTACACTATCCATTAATGACCGACTACATTAACTATACATAATATATATTTGTATACATATTAATTAATTTATTTATGCATGTACGTGTGTGTGTATATATACTAATATATATATCTTTATACATATTTATAGTTTATTATGTTTAAATTAAAATTTTTAGTTCCTAATAACTAGCCCAACCAATATAATATCTATTTTTATACTTAAAGATAATACTTTGTGCTTGAATTTTAAGGTTTAGTTATGGCTTTTCATGACTATTTTTGTGTAAGTTTTTCTTGTGTTTGTGATGAAAGACCTATAAACATTATAAGTGTATTAACAATTTTTAAAATATTGTAATGTTATTTTAAAAGTATTAAAAAATTATATCATTTTGAAAACTTTAGAGTTTCCCGGGTCGAACGATCCGATGGACTACCAAACCCGCTCTTACGGCGCGGACATAGACATGTGTTTAGGCTCATATTTGCGGGCCGGGCCGGGGCCCGCCCGCACATAATAGGCACAAAATTTATTAAAAGTCCGCCTAGAGCCCCTGCTTTTGTGCAGGTCGGGTAGCGCCCTCAACAAACAGTGAAAACTGGTTGCGAATCAGGGTAAATGGGTCTGGTCTGATAAGGAATTTTAGGCGCGCCAAGACTATTTTGAGGCCCGCGTAGAGGGCCGGATATCATAAGAAATGGAGTCTGCTGTGTCGAGACTGGCAAACATTCGGAGCCACTTAACCACTTCGACGTCGGCGAAGGTACATTCAATTGATTGGAAAATTCCAATTCTTTCAATACGTAGTACCCCGTAATACGCAAAATTCCAATGCATCCGAGTATTTGTTCCAAGAGTGATCGTAATTGAAACCAAAATTCAATTGACGTTTAAATGAAACCAAAATTATATATGAGTAGTGTTCCGAATTCCTGACTGGAACCGACGTAGGGACGGCGGATTTTGGCCGCCTTGTTGGTGGAATTTTTTGATGAATTTTTTATGGCATGTTCTTAATCAAGTTACTTTATGGACTTGATGAAAATTTAGCTAAAAATTCAATCGAGAAAGCCTTCAAATAGTTTTTGGAAGTTAACTTAGCCGAAAAATACATATAAAACACACTTAACTTCCAAAAATTATTTGGCGACCTTCCAGATTGAATTTTTAACTTACTTTTTTTGTGTATAAACTAGACTTGATGAACAACACGCTATAAAAATTTCATCGAAAAAGTTGACCGGGAAGACGGCCAAACGCCGCCGTCCGGAATTCTGGACATGAACTTTCCTCTCTCTATATATAGGGGATGTTTCAAAATCTTCAAATACAAAGAGCTCTTTCCCATGCAAAGTGAGAATGAATCTCCTCCATTCATTTTCACATCTAATGGCTCAAAATAAGCCAAAAATGCACTAAATTCGACCAAAATCGCAGTAGCAATTTTGTAAATAAACCACACTTTTTCGCCATCTAAAAAAAGTGCAACAGAAACACAAAAAGGTGCAAGCGAAACATGAAAAAGTGCATATCTTCGCACTTTGCACGGGAAGAGTTTTTTTTATTTGAACTCTTCCCTATAAATATATATAGGGAGCGGATCAGGTGAGAAGTGCCTTTAGGCTGAGAACTGCGAAGCTAACTTATACACTGAAACAAGAACTTTTAACCAATAAATCGTAACTTATAGAGCCCTCGAAATAATTACGAATATGCCACCGCAAAAAATTAAGTCTGGAGACCTTGGTTAATATGCAAACCGTGCTTAACTTACTAACCTACAAACTCAATAATATGCAACACTTTGAACTTCAATATGCAGTACAAATAATGTAAAGATGGACTCTTTGAATTTCAATATGCAATACAAATAATGTAAATATGAAACTGCTATTTTATGGCTTGATTAATATGAAACACTTTGAACTTCAATGTGAAATACAAATAATGTAAAGAAGATTATTTGAATTGGAGGACTAGTTTGTATGTGATCCCACCCTTGCATCTTTACATTATTTTTACTGCATATCGAAGTTCAAAGTGATGCATATTATTTAGTTTGTAGGTTATTATTTTAAGCATGATTTGTATTTGATCTCTTATATATATGTATATAGGGAAGAGTTCAAATAAAAAGAGGTGCTTCTATGCAAAGTGCGAACGATTGCACTTTTTCCTCACAGCGTTGCACTATTTCATGTTTCTGTTTCACTTTTTCGTGGTGCAGAAAACTTCGAAATTGCCACCGTGATTTTGGTCGAATTTAGTGCATTTTGGCTCATTTTGAGCCATTAGATATTTAGATCTGAAAATGAATGCACAAGATTAATTATTACTTTGCATGGGAAGACCTCTTTGTATTTGAACCCTCCCCTATATAAAAACTGAGATGCCAATTTCGTAAATAAACAACACTTTTTCGCCATCGCGAAAAGTGCAACAGAAACACGAAAAAGTGCAAGCGAAACATGAAAAAGTGCATATCTTCGCACTTTGCACGGGAAGAGGTCTTTTTATTTGAACTCTTCCCTACACACACACTGTGTAATACACACACACATATAAATATTATACAAAAAGTGTACGGGAATATGCAAAAAGTGCACTTTTGATCAGTTTGGAGGGTGGACGAAGGTGGTTGGTCAGGAGGTTACAGAGATCATTGCGGGGTGAGATCCGTTGAGGAAGATTTGAGCAGCGGCGCTTCGGGAGGCGTTCGGCGGGTTTAACGAAGCAGCGAAGCGGACAGATTGGTCTGTGCAGCAGCGGTTCCGGAATTTTTAGTCGGCTTGGTAAGGCATAGAGATTTATGGAGAATATTGGTGATCAATACAAAAAGATGCCAATTGGTGCGGAAGAAGAAGAACTGGCGAGCAACAGGAAGGTGACCATTCCGGTGATTGGCATGATAGGTTCTCAGATGAATTTTCTGGAGGTTGAAATTCTCTTCTATCATACTAAAACAGCTCGCCCTCCTCCGGAACCACCTCCCTTCGAGGAAGTAATTTGGGAAAAGTTTTTATTTTCGTATTGTTTTTCCCTTCGCATTACTTATTTTTATTTCAGTTCGACCGGGTGTGGTCGGAGTATTTTAATTTTTGATGAACTCTTGATAGGCAGTGTTTCATTTTCGGTCGTTTTAGGCTTCTTCTTGCCCGTTTTGTGTCTAGCGAGTCATGTTGCTTTGTATGGGTGGATGACTTTCAGTCTATTCCTAGGGCTTACGATCAGATCTATAATATCTGTCTGGATTTGGTGTTGCGTGTTTGCTCTATTTTAATGGAAATCCGTTTTGATGATAAAAAAAGAAATAGTCGGTCAAAGTTTTGAAAATGGCAAAGTTTTTTGGGACGGAGGTAGTATTATGTATTACACATTTAGGTTTACCGCGAGTTTTGATCTATTCTATCCATTTTTAAGTGATCTAGGGATTACACTTCTCACTTTTCATGGGAACACCTCTTTGTATTAGAACTCACTCCTATATGTATATATGTATACATATGCGTTTACATATAACAAGACTTCAATTTAAGGAAAGAGTGAGAGATAGAAAAGCCTTTCCTATGTCCTTTAATTACGATTTTTTATGGACTGGTGGCGGGAGTTCGAGTGGAGCCATACAAGTATCCCAGAAAAGTACTTGTTGATTTAAAATCTTCATTATATGATGATAAAAGTACAATTCCAGTTGGTAACTTATAATGGTTGTGTAATTTTTCTTCTTCTTGTGGTTTCAGGGTTTTGACGCTGGATTGGTTAAGATATCTCCTAGAGTTCATGAAGCTTTAGCACATGGTCGGCCAGTTGTAGCCCTTGAGTCTACCATCATTTCTCATGGTATAGTATCATAAATACTTTTTGATACTTTTTCTCATGGTATAGTATCACTTAGTCACATCACCCACATGTTTGCTGACCCCAAACTCTTGTGGGACTAAGGCTTGGTTGTTGTTGTATCATAAATACTTTTGTTGCCGTAATTAGTTTAAAAGCTTATGAATCCATTGACCGTACTCGAAATGTGGCACTTATGGAGTCCAAATACAAATCCTACACCCACTTTACTCAACTATACTATCCCTGAACAAAGAATGCAGTTATCAAGACAATATTTATCCAGTTATTGGATCAGATACCTAATTTATGGTACATCCTAATACTTCCTCACATTTGCAAAGTGTCTACGATGTAGAAATAAATCTGTACAAGTTGTATACTGTCATATTAACTGACCATAGGTATGTATGCATGTATGTAGACGAATACATAAATGTATATGTGATCAAGCATGCATGCTGAAAGTGCAATTGGCCTTATGAACTTTGGTCTCCGAATTCCCACCTAGATCCCGCCTAACATACATGTGGAATTTTTATCAAATTACCCCGAAAATGATACCTTATTTTCAAACTATCCCTGTCTTATTCAAATGATAGAAACAGTTGAAAGTACTTAAAACTCCCTTAAATTTAAATAATCTCTACTCGTGTACTCTCTACTCTCTAGCTCCCACACAAAGCCCTAGACCACTCACCCCGATGAAACTGGAGAGATGAAGCTGTTGATGTGTTCTGATGAAGATGCCTTCCATGGAGGCTGACGAAAGGGACACATTGATGATGCCGTCCGGTTTGGCCAAGAAATTGAGCCTTACTTGTGGGAGTTGTGGCAATGGAGCTGGTGAGGTTGTGGCTATGGAGCCGATCAGTTCTCAGCATCATTGGCAATTGCATCATTGTCTTCCATGGAGGCAACACCAATTTGAATAAGCATGTGAAGTGCTAATTTGTTGTTTGACCAATTTGAACTAGGTATTTGGACCTTCTGCAGAGAAAACATTGCCTATTCCAGAGAAGAAGAAGAGAATGAGATATGAAGATCTGGTAGTTCGAACGGGAACATGACCAGTTCGACCAGGTTAGACCTATTTGACCAGGTTCTACCATGTTCTGCAATGCTCGACCACACAGGCTGACCTGTTCGACCAGGGTACAAATGGAATGCAAGAAAAAGTTTCTTTTTTAAAGGCACCCTCAAAATATCAAACCTTTTAATGATAGTTTGATGATTAACAACCTTTATAGGGGTATTTCTACATGTTTACTCATCAACAGGTTTGGAATATTGTTTCTCTGGTCTATTCTCGTGTGAATCAACATGGTTCTTTTGTTATTTGTTACTGCAATCTTCCGCTACACCATAGTTGGTTGACTTAAATCACAGCTCCACCATTCTTTGTTAAATTTCTCAGCCTTTAATCCCTCTCATAATATGTTACACACTCATTTCCTTTTGATACTTATTGAGTGATTTGTTTTGTATGGATTTTAGGGTGCATTTGCAATCATGTATGCAATTAGAGATGCACATATATCAATCATATCATCATTCTTTTGGTATGAATTTGGTTTTCAGGAATGCCATATCCTCAAAATCTGGAAACAGCAAAACAGGTGGAGACAATGGTTAGTATGAATGGTGCAGAACCCGCCACTATTGCTATTTTGGATGGTGTACCCTGTGTAGGTGATTATCTAATTTCTTACTTTCTTATTCTTTTCATCTGTGTCCTTGTGCTGGGTTTTCTGGGTATCAGTGCGAAGATGATATTCTACTATTCTCATATGTCTTGTTATAATTATTAGAATTAAATTTAAATGATATGTCCTTTTTTTCTTCTTAAACTGAACTTGTGATTGCGAGCTAGTAATGGCACAATAATGCCATAACTCCTGCACAAAATAAAATATCAACTTGTCACAGGCCAAGATAGTGTTCGCATCACGGGACGATGTGAAGAAGAGAATTGGTTGTGTCACTTGTGTGTTTCCGACGTGAGGAAGTTAACGTGAAAGAATAGTGGTATTAATAGGAAGTTCTGTTGATCTTTCTATCTCCCTTGCTAACAAGTTTGCCCATGTATGATGGTCCTTCATCTTCTCTTAAATAGAGGTCGGGTTCCAAATACTTTAGAGTATGAAAATAAGTTAGGTAAGTATGCACTGCATACTAAGCTGGGAAGTGCTTTTGTGCACTGCTATCCCTGAAATTATGCCGAAGTAACAGCCATTAAAACATTAACTAATTTATATAGTAACATAATATTAATAAAAGAAAAGTAATGATAGTTATCAACTGCAGTCCAACTATACAGTCTGCTTCGCATATGAGCTTCCAGCTTTGAACTTGTGGAAGATATCCCAACTACATTTTTCTGTTATTTACAGCATTTTCTTCCCAATATCAGATCTTCTCCAAATGTTAATGTGTTGGTATGTTATTTTATATCTAGTTGGAGTGGCTAAAGATAACTCGGGCTCACCCACAGGCCACAAGATCCTATATCTCAAAAGAACTGTTTAGTCTTTGGTGCATTTAGGCAAATTGCTAATTTAAAGTATATTTTGGACATTCTTTCTCGAATCTTTTGTTATTTCATTTAAAAGTTTCTTATGCATCTTGCTCCCCCATGCAACTATGAATGAGATTTAATGAGATGGTCTAGATGTGAGATGATGCCATGCGCCCATGACAATTATGAATGAGATTTTATGAGATGGTCTAGATGTAAGATGATGATTTTCAAATGGACGATGATGAATACATACTTCATTGGACTTCAATTTGTCTCAATATATGACTAAGTTAAGGACTTCAATTTCATTTTTATACATACTCACATTTATTTTTCCAAGGAAGATTCACCTTTATTGGTCAACAGTGTTATTCTATCTAGGTTTTTCCGTTTCAGGAAAAATCCCATTATTAGCGATTTTTTAAATCTTGTCAGCTCCTCTGGTATTAGGTTTGAGCAGGGAAGAACTGGAGAGGCTTGCTATCTTAGGAAGCAAAGCTCGTAAGACAGCTCGCAGAGACATTTCTCATGTTGTAAGTGAAACATTAAGCATCTTGATACATGCAGACACACAAAAACTTGTCTGGTATATAAAATCACGTTTCAAACCTGCTTTAGATAAAAAGTAGTTTTTATTTATTTATAAATGGTATTTACAGAAAAATGACACAAAACCACTTTCAGACTTTCAGTAATCATAGTTTTAAATACTTGTATATAAAACACACTTCTGACTACGTAAACGTTTCAAACCTGCTTTAGATAAAAAGTAGTTTTTATTTATTGGCTAAAAGGTCAAATAGATACATGAACTAACTTAAAGTGTTCAATTAGCCCCTTATATAGGATGTTCTGTCCGGCCGTCGCCAATTGGGGAAGTTCCCGGTGAAATTTTTTGATGAAAGTTTTTGAGCATCTTCTTCATTAAGTCTAGTTTATTTATACCAAATTTCAGCTAAAAATTCAACCGGGAAGGCACTCAAATGAGTTTTTGAAGATAACTGCGCAGTTAAACAGTGCAGTACATTTCGGAAAATCATTTGACTGCCTTACCGATTTAATCTTTAGCTGAAATTTGATATGGGTAAACTAGACTTAATGAAGAAGATGCTCAAAAAATTTCATCAAATTTTTTTACCGGGAACCGCCCCAATTGACGACGGTCGGGCAGAACCTCCTATATAAGGGGCTAATTGAACACTTTAAGTTAGTTCATGTACCTATTTAACCCTTTAGCCTTATTTATTTATAAATGGTATTTACAGAAACAAAGATATAAAACCACTTTCAGACTTTCAGTAATCATAGTTTTAAATACTTGCATGTAAAACACACTTCTGAGTTCTGACTACGTAAATGTTAAATCTTGCCAGTTATTTTTGATCTTTAGCCCCTAAAATACATTTTAATACAAAGATAGTTACTAATTCTATTATTTGCTTAGATATCTTACTATCTTAGAACGTTACTGAATGTTGCATTCCTAGGTTTCTAATGGCATCCACATATGATGCACATATCTCCACACGATTTGTTCTTTCCCACTTCCATAATTAGTAATTAGCTAAATAATCTTAAATGTTTTGTTTCTGTTTTTCACGCAACTTATTGGAGATCAACTCCATTATGCTAAAAGCTGAGCCAAACAGTGTTCAACAATGAGCTAATTGGAGTAGAAAAGAGGCAAATCTCTTTTTCTCTAGGTAGATCACATCTTTCAGTATTATATGCAAAAATACCTTTGGCGTTTGATGCATCTAGTTTTAATCAAAATGATTCCATATCCCATCAAAGAGGGATTTTTTGAGATAATGGGGTGATTACTTTTGCAATTAATGTGAATATGCGTGAATAACATGGATCTTTAAGCAATTCTTGGTGGTTGATTGCAACAATGTTGGCCGGATACAGGAAACAGTGACGCCTGATGGTGGTAGCAGGTGGTCACATTTGTCAATGTTGGCAGCCAGCAACGGTAGTAGCCATTGAAGGTGGCAGGCCTGGCAGCCAACGAGAATCGGAAATGGTGGCAGCTAGTTACCACAATGATATTTGTCCTAGGTGACAGTGATGGTAACTGGCAACGGTTGAAATTAGTGGAGTGAGGACTGACTATGGTAGCTGCAGGAAGTGGTGGCAAGCAGCAGTGGTAGCCTGCGGCGGTAGCATGTGACGATTGTGGTGCCTGGAAGTTTTCCAGCTAGCTAATGGTGATTTTCGAAGACGGTGTCGGCCAGTTGCAACTGCAAATCTGATGGTCCACGATAGCGGCATGTCACGGGGAGACTTCTATTTACCTAAGTCTAGCCGTGTGCCACCTGGCTTACTCCTTAGATTGAGGGCTAAGTCAGGCAAACCAACTCCTTAGAGAACCACCAAGGATATAATGGAAGAAGAATAAAGGGAAGTGAGCAAAGACACAAAGGGACAACTTGTATTATGCTTAAGAGAGCTTACAAGAGCTTTGTAGTAGAGAAAGCTCCGGTGTCTTTGGATGGTTGGAGCAAATGATGCTCTCTTCCCTATCTATAGTGCTAGCCTAGGCCTTGAGTATGTACAAGACTGTTCTGGAGAGTTCTACTCTACTCTATAGCCATGTACATTACTACATTCCTCCATAAGGTTCTGGGTTGACCTAGAACATTCTACACTGTCCTAGAGGGGTCTAGGTCATTCTTGATCCTTCTAGGTTGTTTCGGGACATTCTGGCTGGGACAATCTAGACATTTCTAGAAACTTCTCCGTGACAGGCAGCCTTAGTTGGTAGATGGTAGATGATGGTGGCGATCTTGACCTTCAATGACAGCGGTAGATGATGGTGGCGGCAGTTGAGGTGACATGCAGTAGAGGTTGCTACCAGCAGCTGGCAGAGGTTGGTGAGTTTGTGATAGGCTTACAGCTCAGCAGCCTATTAAATATTTCAATAAGGTCTATCATAGGAGGAATAAAAGAGTTAGTTAATTAGCTAACTAGTTAGTTACGCTCCTTTTATCCCTGCATGGATAACATACTATAAATAGAATAATAATAGCTGGGAGGAGTAGGCTGTAATTTTCTGTTGTGATGTACTGGGAGATTGGACATCTCGACTGGTCCTGGAGATTTGGTGCCCTGTATATGATCGATCCTTCCTATTGAATAAAGCTTTCAATCTGTTCATCTTCTATTTCTATTTCCTTCTATATTGTTCTGAAAATCAATTACCAGTGTTCTATCATTGGTATCAGAGCAGTCGTTTCTGGTGACAGGATTTGGTGTCGCATCACCTGGAAGAAGTCATCGAAGGTGTGAATGGTCAGAACGAGGGCTAAAATGGAGAATTGAGTTGATTCGTTGGAACGAAACCTTCTGGAAATAAGAACCGATTTGCGAACAGAGTTGCAATGGAGAACATCGCCGCTTCTATGGCAGCGATGAATGAAAAACTTCAATCCAGAGGAAGATCGCGATCCTCGCACAGTCCAGCACATTCGAGAGGTAACTCTGTGAATTCTCATGTTCATAATCATCGACGGAGTAATGAGATAAAAAGAGTTCCAGTCCATACGGGTAGAAAAGTAGATTTACCTTTGTTTAATGGCGATGAAGCATAAAATTGGATTGTGAGGATGGAGAGATATTTTCGTTTAAATCAAATTGAGGAGGTTGATAAAGTGGAAGCCTCAGTAGTAGCAATGTAGGATAGGGCTTTAAACTGGTTTCAGTGGTGGGAACACCAAACTGAAGTAAGAAATTGGGAGACTCTGAAGGAATCTGTGATCCGCAGATTCCAACCTGAATTAATGCAGAATCCATATGGTCCTATGCTGAGTTTGAAACAAACTGGAAGTGTAAGGGAGTATAGGGATGAATTTGAGATGGTTATAGCTCCTCGAAGGACTGTTGACAGGGAGATATTGAGAGGCATCTTCATTACAGGTCTTAAGGAAGAGATTAAGACTGAATTGAAATTATACAATTCTAGGTCCTTATCTGAAATCATGGACAGAGCCTTGTTGATAGAACAGAGAAATGATGCTATATATTTGAGGAGTAAAAGTGAGGATAAAACAAATTGGAAAGATAAAGGACCTATGACTGCAAAATCACAGGCCTGGGGAGAAGGATACAAGTCCAAATCTGGCAACTCATGGTCAAGCACTAGGGGACAGACTGTTGCAGAAAATAAAGATAACCAATCTTGGTTCAACTCTGTGGGGAAGAAGGTGACTGAAATTAACCCATCTGGGATAAGACGTGTGGGACCACAGCTTTCTCATTAAGAATATCAAGACAGGAGCAGAAAGGGGCTTTGTTTTAAATGTGGGGAGAAATGGAATAAGGAGCATACTTGCAAGTTAAAAAATTATAAACTCATACTGGTAGAAGATTCTGAAGGTGAAGAGGAACTTGAAGTATCTGACAATGTTATTCCAGAAGAAGAGGAGATTAACATGGAGTCTAAGTCCATGCAACTCTCTATCATGAGCAAGGAAGGTATACCATCAATAAAGGCTTTCAAGGTGCAGGATGGGCTAAGGGTGAAAAACAAATGGAAGTTCTTATTGATAGTGGGGCTACTCATAACTTCATATCTCAGAAGTTGGTAGAGCAATGGGGTTTACCTTTTCACACTATTTCTGGATACAAGGTGCAGATCGGAAATGGAGATAAGGTATCTAATAATGGCAGATGTGAAGAGTTAATCCTATGTATGCAGGGGAATGTGATAAAACAGAATTTTTATATTCTGGATTTGGGTGGAACTGATTTGGTTTTGGGCATGGAATGGTTGGCTAGTCTGGGGGAAGTAGAAGTCAACTTTCAGAAGCAGAGTATCAAATGGCATCAACATGGGTTAAATCAGACAATCCAGGGAGATCCAAAATTAAATTCCATTGAAATCTCTCTGAAAACCATGTCACAGATCATACATGACAATGGTGATGGTTATCTGGTATTATGTGAGGGTAAGCTGTTGGAAGTTGAAGAAGAACAACAGAAGGATCCTATTTGGGAAGAGATAATGGCAGAATTTCCAGAGTTATCAACACCTATACAAGGACTACCTCCTGCCAGAACCTGTGATCATGCCATTAACATAAAAGAAGGAGCTGAAATACCTAATATAAGGCCCTATAGATATCCACAGTATCAGAAGAATGAGATTGAAAGGATCATCAAGGAAATGCTTCAGTCTGGAATTATACAACATAGTAACAGTCCCTACAGTAGCCCTATTCTGCTAGCTAAGAAGATGGGGGGTGGAGGTTTTGTGGAGATTATAGAGCTCTGAATCAGATAACTATTCCGGATAAATTTCCTATACCCATAATTGAAGAGTTGTTGGATGAACTAGGGGGGCTACTATATTCTCCAAGTTGGATCTAAAATTTGGCTATCATCAGATTAGAATGAAAGACACAGATATTCAGAAAACTGCATTTAGAACACATGAAGGACATTACGAGTATTTGGTCATGCCTTTTGGGCTAACCAATGCTCCTTCCACATTTCAGGCCCTCATGAATCAAGTCTTAAGACCATTTTTGAGGAAATTTGCTTTGGTCTTTTTTGATGACATTCTTATATACAGCCAGACTAAGGAAGCACATCAGGATAATTTGAGAAGAGTTTTAACTGTTCTAAGAGATAATCAGTTGGTTGTCAACTTAAAGAAGTGTTCTTTTGGACAATCACAACTAGCATATTTGGGGCATATTATTTTTGGAGATGGAGTGTCAGCTGATCCTACAAAGATTGAAGCTATGGTAAATTGGCCAGAGCCTAATGATTTGAAGGGACTGAGAGGTTTTTTGGGGTTGACTGGCTATTATAGGAGATTTGTTAAGGGGTATGGCAAACTTGCTTTACCATTCGCACAACTCCTTAAAAAAGATAATTTTCAGTGGAATACCATGGCTACTATTGCTTTTGAAGAACTGAAGAAGGCCATGACATCCTTACCTGTATTGGCAGTACCTGATTTCAACAAAGTGTTCATCTTGGAAACTGATGCATCTGGAACTGGGTTGGGGGCAGTTCTTATGCAAGAAAGGAGGCCTATTGCATATATGAGTAAGAAATTGTCCAAAAGGAACCAGAATAGATCTGTATATGAAAGGGAACTCATGGCCATTGTATTAGCTGTACAAAGATGGAGACCCTATCTACTTGGCAGAACATTTGAGATCCATACTGACCAGAAAAGTTTGAAATTTTTGGCTGAGTAGAGATTAATGGGGGAGGAACAACAGAAATGGACAACTAAATTGCTAGGCTACAATTTCATCATCAAATACAAGCCTGGTGTGGAGAACAGAGCTGCAGATGCTTTATCAAGAAGACCTACCTTACATTCTCTATCCATTGTTACTTGTCAAGAATGGGAAGGTTTGGAGGATGAGTTGCAATCTGATTCTAAATGCCAAGAATTACTTCAGAAGGTAATATCTCAACCTGATAATTATCCAGATTTTCATATAATTAAAGGGTTGTTATATTACAAGAGGAAATTAGTGCTACCGAAAGAATCTCCTAGAGTACTCAAGGTTTTAAAAGAATATCATGACTCAGCTGTGGGAGGACATTCTGGGTACTTCAGGACTATGAAGAGGATATCAAATTTGTTCTATTGGGTGGGAATGAGGACTGACATTAAAAAGTATATAGATGGATGCAATATTTGTCAAACCAACAAGTACCAGGCACTCAAACCAGCAGGTTTGATACAACCCTTGCCCATTCCCAGTAGCATATGGACTGACATCAGCATGGATTTCATAGACGGTTTACCAAAATCTCATGGGAAAGATACTATATTGGTGGTTGTGGACAGGTTAACCAAATATGCTCATTTCCTGGCTTTATCACACCCTTATAATGCTAAGGAAGTGGCAGATTTATTCACAAAAGAAGTGGTGAAATTACATGGCTTCCCTAAAACTATTGTAAGTTACAGAGACAGTGTACTCATGAGTTCCTTTTGGTCAGAACTTTTCAAGATGGCAGGAACCCAGTTAAAGTACAGTATAGCTTACCATCCTCAGACTGATGGTCAGATTGAGGTGGTTAACCGTTGTTTGGAAACATATTTAAGGTGTCTTACTGGCAGAAAACCTAAGCAGTGGAATCAATGGCTACATTGGGCTGAATTTTGGTATAATACCGATTATCACTCTTCACTAAAGCAGACACCTTACAGAGCTCTTTTTGGACAAGAACCTCCTGCAATCATCCGGGGAGATGTGACATTAACAGCTGTGGAGGAGGTGTCCAAATTAACAGCTCAAAGAAATGCTATGTTGGAAGAATTGAAGGGAAATTTAGCTAAGGCTCAGAATTTGATGCAACAACAAGCCAACAAGCATAGAAGAGAAGTGAAAGTAGAAGTTGGAGATCTGGTGTATATGAAAATACAGCCTTACAAATTGGAGAGCTTAGCCAAAAGGATGAATCAGAAGTTGAGCCCTAGTTTTTATGGTCCATTTGAAGTTACTGGAAAAATAAGCTCTGTAGCTTATAGGCTCAAGCTCCCAGAAGACAGTAAAATACATCCTGTATTTCATCTCTTTGCTTAAGAAAGTGTTATCCTCTAACACTTCTTATCAACCTCTACCTAAATGCCTCAATGAGGAACTGGAGTTACAGGTGACACCTGAGGAGATTGTGGATACAAGGATGAGCCAAGAAGGGAAAGCTGAGGTTCTAATACACTGGAAGGGTTTACCAAGTTTTGAAGATTCTTGGGAGACAGTGCAAATGCTGAAGGAAACATTCCCAGATTTTCACCTTGGGGACAAGGGAATTTTCAGGGGGGAGTATTGATAGGCCTACAGCTCAGCAGCCTATTAAATATTTCAATAAGGTCTATCATAGGAGGAATAAAAGAGTTAGTTAATTAGCTAATTAGTTAGTTACGCTCCTTTTATCCCTGCGTGGATAACGTACTATAAATAGAATAATAATAGCTGGGAGGAGTAGGCTGTTATTTTCTGTTGTGATGTACTGGGAGATTGGACATCTCAAATGGTCCTGGAGATGTGGTGCCCTGTGTATGATCGATCCTTCCTATTGAATAAAGCTTTCAACCTGTTCATCTTCTATTTCTATTTCCTTCTATATTGTTCTGAAAACCTAGTCATATGTTTGGCAGTAAACTAAATTTGTCCAGTCCTTTGATAGGGGATAGTTGTAACATGGGGTTTGCTACTGCCTACTGGAGCTCTTTGTAGTGCTCAAGAACAAGACTTCCCTTTTGCGAAATTTTATTGTGATTGATAATTGACATAATAACTCAGATATAATGGTTGACAAATAGCTCCATTCTAAGCTCTACTGAGTATGTAGGCATACTGCCATGTTTTTGCAGTTCTAATCTTAGTTCAGATTGTCGAAGCCTAACTTCCTGTTATGAAAAAACCGTAACACTTCATTGAAGCTATGCTCTTTGAGTATTTGACTAGCTAAAACTTATTATATTCCATTCCCTAACTTTTCTTCTGTTAGGACTTTTTATTGAGGTTTACAAGCAAACCATTTTATAATGCTTGGGAATAATAATCCATCAATACTTTTTTAAATACCAGTGTCACTACATAGATATCCTTTTTGATGGTTCTGCTTTCTCTTTAGGTGGCTACTAGAGGCAACGGAGCAACTACTGTGTCTGCTACTATGTTTTTTGCTTCCATGGTGATTTACAAATCTCCACCGCATTTATGTTTAATGTTGCCAGGTCGCTGGATGTTACTGATTGATCATCAAAAACATTTCTCTGTAGGTTGGCATTCCAATATTTGTAACTGGGGGTGTTGGAGGAGTACATAGATATGGCGAGAATAGTAAGTTCCCGTGCATGTATTATCTAATTAATGTACATTTGTGAGAATGATAGGAGTTACTTTTTGTACATAAAGTATGCCTATAAAAGATTCAGTTGATGTAATGTATGTGACAATTGTAAAATCCTAGGTTTAGTTGAAACAAAAGAGGACATAAAAAGGATGCTACACTTTCCCTTTTATACTGTATGTGAGAAAAAGTAGAGGCTCTTTTTACAGTTGAGTAAATGGGATAAAGAAAGCATATTGGTGTGCAATGCAGGCCAATCTATATGTGGCACAATTTTATCATTTTGGTGGGAAGTGATAGTTAAATACCTTCTCCTATGTGAGAAACACTGCATTGTTATTTGTAAATTAACAAATCATCACCTGAAGAAAGAAAATAAAAGAAACTAAATGTTGTATTTTAACACCAAGTGGTTTGGAACTGTATTGTGACTGGGACTTTATCTGAATTTTGTATTCAACGCCTTGAATCTCATTACGTATATGGGAATCTGTTGCACAGTAAAGAATTAAGATTCATACCAAGTGTAGTAACTTTGTTATGCATTTACTATTTTACTCTTTTCCCCTTCAATGACATACGTACTATACAGCGATGGATGTATCTTCTGACCTCACTGAACTTGGAAGGACTCCTGTAGCAGTAATCTCAGCAGGGGTGAAATCAATATTAGATATCCCAAGAACGCTGGAGTATTTGGTTAGTATTTATGTACACAAGAGTTTGTTAAGAGCACCGTCAAATAGTTAGTATTCGGTTCAGGGATTTCGTTGGGGTTAGGGAAGGGGAGGATGATATAATTTTTAAAAATATTTCTACATGTAGATGGTTGAAATTACAGTAAAGTTAAAAAACTATATAGAAATACATGATCTGACCAATCATATTGTTATTTCCAATCTAAAACTAACAAATAGTGACATACTAGTAAAATAAAAATCAACTCTTCCCTCCCGTTCCCTTCGAAATCTCTGAAGCTAAATTTGGTTCATGTTTTACTTCTCTTCTCTAAACTGTAGGAAACTCAAGGGGTCTGTGTTGCAGCTTATCAGACTGATGAATTTCCTGCTTTCTTTACAGAAACAAGTGGCTGCAAGGTTCACAATTTTCATTTGTTGAATGTATATCAGTATATGAGGTTGTCAGAAGTAGAGCCATTGATTTTTTTGGCAATTCTGACTATTTTTTTTTCCAATGTCAACAATATAGTTCTGAAGCTACTGAAAATGTAGAGTTCATGAGAAAATACGGTTCAAATTAGAGATCTTTTTGACTTGTCAATTTTGTTGAGATAAAAAAGATGCTAAAAATGCATTCTTGATGGTTTAAAAAAATCTAGCAAGTAGCATTTCAAGAATTGAAATCTTATACTTTTTAGAATGTGATGAGTTGTCACGTCACCATCCGTTCACTTAATCTGTAATTTGGATAGTATTTTCTCATAACTTTCTCAATTTTCGGTGGTCTGGGACTAAATTGGCGATAGCTTCAAAGAAGTTGGTCTGAATTGCCAAAGCGAATTCCACCTGAACTATTTGGCAACCTCCTTTAGTTACAGAGCCATTTTTTTTTTCTGATCTTTTTACAATCCAGTTTCATCTATTCTAGTACATATAGGGTTGAAGACTTGAACTTTTTATTGTGATTGGTCAATGAACATTGGAACATATTTTTGCTAGGCACCTTGTCGGGTAGATACACCAGAAGACTGTGCTCGACTAATAGGCAAGCAAATTTCAACTCATTTCATATATGTGCCTTTGTTATTTGATTTCATCTTGACTTCAATATATTTAGGAGGTTAGATAATAGTAATCTATTTTCTTTTTTGGACGATCCATAAAAATGCAACCTGCATCTATTTGCGTGGCTTTCGAGCCAATAGTATGGTCTGAAATTTTAGATGGTTAGCTACCTCCTTCAGCACTACTTTTCATCCTCCCAAAATCCACTATTTTGCTTGAGTCACTACTGAGAGTGCTTACCTACTCAAACAATGTTACTAGCGTCATTAACTTCAAATTCCATGCCTACCCCGAATTCTCCAACCGCTGTTTGAGTCGTCACATGCCTCTATGCATGCTCACTCTGTATCTCCAGTTATTACGCACCGGTGCAAGAAGTGCCTTCTGGTGAAATTTCCATCTTGCTTCATCATTGTCTGGCAATTTCCGGTTTTTTCTTCATATTTTCCATCTTGTCGTTGCAATGGCTTAGTTTGATGGTTAAACTAACAGTAACTGCTAATGTTCCGATTGCTGTTTATATCAATTTTTTGTGACAGTTCTGTTATGGCACCAATAAACTTATTGTATCATGAAGTTAGAAGCTATGGCTATGTGCCATAGAACTATGGTTTATGGGGCACAGAGTGGATGACCATTTGGTCTAACAAGCAGATACAATCAATTAATCGAGCATCTCAAAGGAGTTTTGAGATGTGATGATGCCCAACTTGCAGCATATTAAGGCAATATCTGTCACAAGAAATCATGCCAATTTTCCGAAGCAAGTTAAGTGACCTTACACCAATGACATCTCTCAATTTTAATGAACATTAAAAAAGTTGAAGGATGTCAGCAAACCTTCTTAGGAAAAATTCAAGAGTTGTTTGAATTCAATACTTATGCCAATCAAAGGATCCCTTGGAAAACAAGAAGCGTATAAGGAAAGATTTTGGGTTGTCTTGGCACTCTCTAAACTTGGAACAATATATGAAGAGGTTTAACAGCAAATGTTGAGCGAGAAAACCTTCCCAAATATCAGTGAATTTTTTATTCCACTCCTTCGAGGATCCCCAGTTACTGAAAATATCAATTTTAATCACTTTGCTTCTGTTTCTCACTCTAGGGGTGGTCCTGGTAGTGGTAAAAAAGTATTAATGGAAGAGATGGAGGTCGTGATAGAAGTACACAATGATTTCACGTTTTTTGTAACAAACAAGGACACACATGTGAATAGTGTTGAACTTACATGAAAAGGTAACTGTAGTCAATCTGAGTATGAATAATCCAAACAATTAAAGGCTACTCAAACCTCAAATCTCCTTGTCTCCTTGATAAATTTGTTGCTAATTTAATTTCTCAATCCATTCCTGTTTGTTTTTTTACTCAGGTGGGAACCCTTCACTTTTTATCCATATAACTTTTTTTTTAATGTTTTTCTTCCATTAACTTCCTTTGGTGATAGGTCAATAGATAACGCCATAGGACCTAGAAATTTCTCTCCTCTATCATCTCTTTCATAATCTATACTATGTATCCCTTATTGTCTTTTCATAACCTAATATCTATGCATAAACTTAACAGTTGTCTAGAGTATAATTTTACATTCTCCATTAAGTGTGTGATTGTACATGACGGACAGTTCAAGAAGACGATTGGTGCAAGATGTGGGCCACTAAGGATTATGTCATGTGTCCAACACCAATACTATCTCTACTGCTACAACAATAACAAGTGCGTGTTCATGCTGTACTCTCTTCTCCAAAGGGGTTTTCAGTGCTACTGTCCTTGCTCGCGATGACTCTATACCTCTTCATATTTTTTATGCTTTTTGGGTTGGTTTTGCTAGTATTTCTTGTATTCCACTTTATTTTTTTCTCTTATCTTTCTTGTATTTCCTCCTGAATTCTCATTAATAAAACTTCCTTTAAAAAAAGCTTTCCTGACCTAGAACTTATTCTTCCATATATGCCTGTCCTTAGTACGTCTGAGCCAATGCTTTCCCAATACGCTTAAAAAATCAGTTTCTCAAGGAATTCCGGAGAACCTCTCAGTGTTGCAGGTCCCTTATATGCATCAGCACTGAGATTTTAACCCGAGAAGATGGTGAATGTCATGTGATTCTAGTGACAATGTGACATCCTTGCCTCCGGGTTCGGTCTAATATATAACTACTACTCATCCCATTGCCAGTAGAATAGGTACAAGGCCCACTCACAATTCTTACTCTATCGATAACTTCCTCTCATATAATCGATTGTGTTCATCACTGCCTACATTACTTATCTTTCTTCTATTTCTGTCCCCAAAAGTGTTAGGTAAGTATTCTTTCATCCAGGTTGAAGAATGGACATGGCTGATGAAATTGAAGCTCTTCATTCATATGGGACCTACTGACCTGGGAACTTATGTGTCTACCCCCCAAATAAATCTGTTGATTGATGGTTATATAATATCGTATTGGTCCTCATGGACAGGTGGTTATGCTAAAATTCAGATTTGTTGCCAAAGGATACACAGGTGTGTGGGATCGACTCGTGAAGTTGATATTTGACAATCAAGCTGCCCTACATTTGCAGTTAGTCCAGAGTTTCATGAAAGATCCAAACATATAGGGGTGGACTGTTATTTCATCTATGAGATGACGAGAAGATCAAGTCTAGATACATCATCATTAAGTTTGTTAATTAAAACTACCAGTTAGTGGATGTGCTCGCTAAATCTCTTAGAGACCAATAATATAGTGTAGTGTAACATGTTTGAAGCTCATGAAGTTATCATATAACCGCCCCAGCCTGAGACAGAGCTGAGCTTCAACTTGTGCTTAACTCTTTATATATATGCCCTATATAACCTTTGATGCCCTATGTGCCTTTGTCTTTTGATGTGCTCTTTATCTCTATATATTGGTGTCATGATCTACGGAAGGTCAGATATAAGAATGTACTCTTCATCTATTTACAGAATTGTCCTCTTTACTTAGTTCAATTTGTGAATGGTTACCCGTACTACATTAATTTGTTTTATCTAATCTGCTTGCAGATGCCAACACTAAACTCGGGCTTCAAACTGGGATCTTAATAGCAGCCCCTATCCCGAAACAACATTCTGCTTCAGGAAGTTTCATTGAATCAGCAGTACAAAGAGCTCTTCTAGAAGCTCAGTAAGTATCAAAGTGTGGATAGTTTTATCGATGTCATTCTATAATATATAGGTGTATGTTCACATCTTAATATGACATGGATAGGGAAAAGAACATAACAGGAAATGCTCAAACTCCATTCTTGCTTGCTAGAGTAAATGAACTAACTGGAGGAGCTTCTCTAGCTTCTAGTATCCTTCACCAGTTGCTCAAGGTTTTTTTTGTTTTCTTTTCTTTTCCCCTTTTCATTCCTACGTCAATAACGTGGTAGCATGGCTAAAGTTTCTTGGGGCTTGTACACTTCATGCCTTTTATTAAACACACACACACACACACACACACACAGACACACACATGCTTCAGTTCAGTCTGAAATTTCCTTATAACGCTCCAGATATTGCACTTGTGAAAAACAATGCATTTATTGGTGCTAAAATTGCTGTCTCCTTAGCTCAAATCCGCAGCCACTGCAATTGAAATGCAAGTAAACGCTCCTAAAATGCTTCATTTTTTGCATATTTCTTAATTCGGTTTCAGAGTAAACTACAAATCTACAATTGATGCTATTTTACTTCATTTATTGATTTTGGCCTCTTAGTTCCAGAAGTAGCATCTTAAAAAATCATATACATCGATCCTCTTAACCTCATTTTTGGTTTGTTTGTTTCTATTTTTTGTTACAGATGCAATTATCACAAGCAGTGTGATAAGTTGGGGCATTAAATTCTAGTATTTCTATGTGAACTCGGTCCTTTATGCCTTATAGTTCAAATGATGTTAATATTATGTTTTTGTATTTTACTTGGAAGCAAGTATGACCCTCCACCGGTCCACTCTTACATCATCCACATGGTTTCATAGCTATAAATTTTAAAAATTGCAAAAGTGCAAAACCACTATTGTTTCGTTTTAGAAAAAACTCGTTTCTAACACTGAGTAATACAGTAAATTGTTTCCAAGCACGAACTTGAGCTTACCCAATTTTGAGCTCGGCATGACTTGTTTACACACTTGTTAACGCTGTCTTAAGTGTAGGAACAATGTTTATTTGAAGAATAACTAGTCGACACACTTGCAAAATATGACCAATTGAAGATTATGAAGCAACTGGGACTCCGGAAGCACGAATCGTAATGACTTGTGCTTTGATGAACCTTAAGGCCCCGTTTGGTTGGAGAGTTTCGTTGAAGAAAATAGGGGGGAAGGAGAAGAAAGTGGAAAGCTTTCAAAATCCTCCAATTCCTCTCATTCTAAACCCCCAAATCGGGGTATTTCGGAGGAAACGTGTCGATAAACACAAACTATCCATCCCCTACGTGAATGAACAAAACGTTATAATATAAAAAGGTAAAAACAAAAAGTTTTGAAAAATTAAAAAATTAAAAAATTAAAAAATTTAAAGATAAAAAAGTTTAAAAATTATAAAAATAAAAATTTTAAAAATTAAAAAATTAAAAAATTATAAATTAAAAATTTTAAAATTTAAAAATAAAGAAATATAAAAATAAAAATAAAATATTAAAAATTCCAAACTGAAAAATGAAAAATTATAAAATTATGACTCATGACCATAGGAGTAATATTCACAATAGTTAGACATGTATCTATTTTTTAAGTAAGCTTTAAAATAAAAGTAAATTGCAAAAATATTTTCATTAAACCTTTCCTCTCATTTCCTCCAACCAAACACAAATTTTTATCAAAATTTTTCCTTCCCTTCCCTCCTTGACTCTCTCCTTCCCTCCCCTCCTTTGAACCAAACAAGACCTGAAAGTATGATGAAACCACCCTCTCAGCCTCTCTGAATTGAACACCGAAAAAAGGTGGATAGATTTATTCAATGTAGGGATGGACCAAACCGGGTCGGCCCGGCCCTGAACCGGCCAGGCCCGCCACTGTGCGGGCCCGGCCCGGTTACGGAATGGGCGGTGCGGGCTTTTACCCGGCCCGGGGGAGGCTAGCGGTTCGGGCACGGTTCACAAAAAGGAAGGCCCGGCCTGGCCGGTTCGGGCCCGGTTTGGGCCAACGGCTATATTTAATTTTTTTTCTCTTTTGGCTACCAAACAGGCCCTTAGAGCCGTTGTGATTGAACCCAAACGGCTATATAGCTGTTGGGAGCCTTCCTGGGGTCCAGGGGTGGGTTAGGGGGGGGGGGGGGTAGGGGTACAAAAAAACTATAAATACTCCATTTTTTCTATACAATTTACTACACATCTTCTCCAAATATTCCTACACTCTAATCTCTATTCTCTACTAATTTATTATTTATATATCTACTTTATACTTAAGATGGAAAATCAAGATGTCGTTATACGGTATAATTTTGATAAGCAGAAGGACCCGGAGACCGGGATGTGGTATGCAACTTGTAAATGGTGCGGGAAAAAATGTAGCATGAGAGTTTCAGGCGGATACGGGATGACAATGAAGCATATGAAGTCATGTGACAAAGGCAAAGGATCGGGAGGTGCGGGAAATTCTGATTGATTACAATTTAAAAAATGTGTCTCTTGAAGTTTGTTTTAATTTTCAAATGTAGTTCCTATTTCATTTCAAATAAATGCACTTAAAGTTTGTTTTTAATACTTGTATAAAACTATAAAATATAAATTATATATAAAAAAAATTCTTTAACCGGCCCGGCCCGATCCGGCGGGTGGCCCGACCCGTGACCCGGACGGGTGGCCCGGCCCGAACCGGACCCGTCCAACCCTCAGGCCGGTCCCGTGCCCATGTCATACAAACTTGCGGCCCGACCGGGCCTAGGCCCGGCCCAGGCCCGACCCGGCCTAGGCCCGGCCCAGGCCCGACCCGGCCCGAGTCCACCACTAATTCAATGTGTGGTTGTGTACTACAGTACTTCGTCAGCCACGTTCATCTCCACCCTCTCTGAATTGAACATACTAATGTTATTATTGTACTACTGATTATTGAAGTTATATACTCTCTCCACTTGCTAAAATTGTCCATCTTTCATTTTCGATCCATCTCATTAAGATTGTTTTATATCAAATTTGATAAAATTTAATTTTAAATTATTTTTACTTTATCAATTTAATACTCCTTCCGTCCCCCTAATATTGGTACGGAAGGGAGTGGTGTGATTTTTAAAAAAAGTAGAATTATGTGATTGGTAATGAGTTGATAAAGTGGAAATAAAGTAAGAATGAATTAGAGCCACACAAATGTTACCAAATATGGTATGAGACAATAATAAAAGGACAACCAAAAATGAAAAAATGGGACAATTATAGGGAGATGGAGGGAGTATCAATTACACAAATTCACTTTTTTCTTAATAATACAACCTCTCCATGTCCCAATGTTAGTGAGACAAAGGTAGTAGTTAATAAGTCAAATTATACAATAACATAACATTTTGAAATGCCAAATACACTGTTAATTTCAATGCAAAAATAGATATTAGCCTTTTCATAAGGTTTATGTGTTTCAGAAATAAAATAAAATATCCTAAGAGAAGATAAGTATTCTTTTCAAACAAAAAAAAAAAATCTAATGGGAAACGAAAACAAGATATAGGACACAACCCCAAAATAAAACCTGCCTTGCTAAAGTAGTAAAAGTTGCCACATTTCAGGAACCAGAGTAGAACAGGCAGTGAAACCTTCACTGGGGCAATGTCAAGGCCGCACATCACAGCACCCTTTAACTTCACCTACGCTTGTCCACCCAGGCTTCAAGCAAGTCTACCTCCACCCACAAAATGAAACAACCGGAAGGGCTTGTAAATTTGTAATCTCCAGTCCACACCATCAGTCATAACTTGCATTCAAGAACCTGAGCAATTCGTTCCTTTTGTTCTCTGCTTCCTTGTCCTCCTTTGTTTTGTCAAGCTTCAAGAGAATCTGAAAGTTGAAAACAATGATATGTGGCAATTTCCCATTCTCTAGTGTAGGAAAAAGTTTTTAATTTTAAAAAATAACATCGACAAGTGAATCATCAGTCATCAACAACACTAAGGGTTTCATTCGCCCGAGACCCCAACTAAACCAGAGTGGGTCACAGACCAAAATAAAAAAACTTGGACTAATGACCGAACCAAAAAAGCATCCAGTGGATGGAACCCAGAACGGAGGAAATCATATATCATAATATACGATTTTAGAATCATATATCATAATATACGATTTTAGAATCATTTAATTATATGTAAACTCAACACTAAATTTAAGCAATAATTAATGCTAAGAAAAAATGTGTAAAAACATTGTTTCAGATCTAATCGGACAAGACAGAAAATATCCAGTCTTGGGCCCTCCAAACCTGATCGAATCTAAAAATGTGGACCAAGGACCCTACCTAAATCTATTCAGTCCTGACACAGCCAGGACTCAACACTCCAACAGTCTAGTCCATTTTTCAGGTCCAGACTGAAACATGAACACTTCTAACCGCCAACTTACTCATTACCCAAACTGGAGTTGGTGAAATGAAATTCAGTGTCAATTGACTGTCTCAAATTAGTTAACAACATAATGAGTGAAATAAACTAAGACCACAAAATAGCTTACCTTCTTGCCAGAGACAGCACTGCGACGGACACCATCATCCTTGTCTCGGCCCAAAAACTGGATAAGTGCATAAGAAATGTCAATAAAAACTGGGCATGAATTTAAAAGAAGGAATTCCATTTAGAAATTATTTACGCACAAACCTTGGAAAGTTGTACAGGGCTACTACATCTCTCCTGTTTCTATAAGCAACTCACAGTGACGTGATAAACCATGAGCCAAAATCAAAGATATGTCGAGCCAATCAAGCACCCGTTGTCATGCCAAACCCCAGCTCCAATTTCAAAGAGCCATAAAATGAAAAGGTATAAAAGTACCATAAGTATCTCATAGTTCAAGTGAAAGATGTAATACCATTACAAATCATTAAAGTGCAAAGACACACTTTATGAGGCCGTTTGGCGACATTGTTTTTCGGCTTATCAGGCTTATCAGGCTTATCAACCAACTTTTTCACCAAACACGTAATTTTTGTTTTCGCACGCTGAATTATGTAATAAGCAGAAAAAGTAAGGTTGGAGTTACTTTTCTGGCTGTATTGGGTGAAGTTACTATAGATGATCATTTTGGCTATTTTTACATATAATTTTTTCTTTATTTTATTAATAAAATATATTTTAATTTTTTTTTTCTTAAATCAACAGAATCAGCCAATGCAGCCACTCTAGCCAGAACTTCATAAATTTCAGCAGAATCAGCCAAATCAGCCGATTTTTGTGCTACCAAACGGGCTCTATATATTCCACACACTTTATATGCCATACAAACACATATGCCATATGATATCATGAAGAATAACTCAATGCCCATAAGGCCCATAAACTACCACTATCACCTACAAACCCTCCTTAGGTGACTAGAGAAGTGAACATATATATTGTGAATGAAAGCTCGTAAATAGAAGACAAGAAATACATATGATTGCATTTAGGATCATAAAGGAGCACACAAATGGCCTACCTCCTTGGTATTATGCTTTTGATGTTTAGACTTGTGTCTTTTTCCTTTCTCCTTGTCCTTTTTCTGCAAAAGATACCTAATGTCATCAATCAGTAAAACACCTAACAAACATAGCATGCTCTCAACGTTACCAAATGTCAATACACAACCTTGCTAGATGTATCTTTGTGTTTGCGCTTTTTATGATGCTCCGATGATTCATGATCGCTGTCTGAAGAGCTGCAGACAATAAAATGCATACAAATTTGTTTACATCAGGTTTGAGTTAAAAATACCATGATTTTTATTCAGAAAGAAGAATTTTATGAATATCCAAATATATCCCTTCATATTTTCAGCAACCTGTACTATTTTTCTAATAGACCCTTCATATTTTTAGGACAGAGGAATGACTATACAAAAGTCCTATAAATCGGAGACAGAGCGGGAGTCAATAAGCAGCGTGAAGGGTTTAGTCGAGTTGCTACATAACTACATAAGATCTACTCATTGTTCTAGTGTTATAGAATCACACACTACCAAAATTCAATTATGAACAAATAATTGGTTTCATCAGTTCATTTTCCCTATTGAAACGCCACATGGATGCCAGAGATTTTTTTTCTTGTCAATTGAACTTTCAACTAATTGTTAAAATTTTCATAATGAAGTTCAGTAGCTATAAAACCTTTAGCTCACAGAAACAGCGTAAAACCATGTGCAAGAAAGGTTGCAGAGGTTCAATATTCAGTGAATATCTAGTAGAATGATGAATGAGTGGGGATAATTCCTAAATTTGTTATTGGCTGACATACACTGATAAGAGAAATCTGGTAGATGCTCAACCAGACAAAAATACAATAATAACTTTACATTATCAGATAATGAAAATGTCATGACTCATGAAGATGGTGTTGAGCAGTCTTAGAATATACGTAGTAATTGTATTTATGTGTCATAGTTGGCTACAAATTAGTTTTTGGTCCCCTTGAATGTTCGGAGTCTGCAATGCCCACATATCAAAGGTATGTAATAAGTCGCCCAGGGTAAGAAAAAAAGTTGCAATCTGACATCACTGGCTATACAACACTGCCAGCATTTATACTTGTTAATTGACTGCAGCACATAACCGATACGACACATTTTAACGAAATTACTGGATAATTTAAAATTCAGCTCAACCTAAGATCAGATCAGAGGTAGGCAACTAAATACAAAATTACCTGCAGTAATCGGAAGACGAGTAAGACGAGCAGCGGCCCCTGTCGGAGGACGAGAGAGGGCGGTTATGACGTCGTTTGATGTGGGAGCGTTTTTCCTTCCGGACATTTGGCACGTCACGGTCCCTGTGACGGCGAAGGCGCCGTTTGCGACGGTGGGATGAAGACAAGGAAGAGTCCGAGAGGGAGGAAGATGATGCCGCCATGTCGAACTCGAATTGGTGGAGATCTATGAGATTTATCAAGGGTTTCACTTAAAAATGATTTTGGGCGATTGAAGATTTGAATAGGCCTGGCGTTAGAATAATAACGGGGGGTGGGGGGATTTGTACCAAAAAACAATAAAGGGAGGGATAAAGACACAAGTTGTACGCTTTTCGTATTTTTATTTTTTTTACACACACTTTTAGTAATTTTTGTTCCTAGCGATTGACGGTCAGAATTTTTTCTTAGCTTCATTTCTCAGTTGTGTGAACTTTCCGTTTTCCTTTTTTAGCAGTCCCAAAAAGAAGTTCACATTTCCCTAAATGAGAAATTATCTACATCAAAACAATGTCAAACAGTGCAAAACAGTGTCAAACAATGTCGAAACAGTGTCAAAACAGTAAAATTTACTCTCTGGTAAGTTTATTTCCTTAATATGTGTGTACATCAAACCGAGAAGTTCTTTGCGGGACGGAGGGAGTACTTATTATTATGGAGTAAAATATCTTTCCTCTCTTAAATATACTCAATCACCACGATGTTTTTACTTGAACCATAATTTGCTGGTCTGGTCGGTCTGTTTAAGTCTGGTCTGATCTGGTATGAACTGATCTGGTCTGATAAACGTTTGGTCTCTATGTATTTTATAACTACGAAAATCAAGTCTGGTCTGGTCTGTTTAAGTCTGATCTGGTTTGGTCTCGAACTAAAAACAATCCAAGTAAAAACATCTTAAAAGCCTTTAGTTAGAGGTACACAACTAACACAAGTGAAACAAAAACCTTTTCTTACGTGTGATTGTGTGAATAGTGAAGTTTCATTTCTTATGCGTATATTGTATTAGGAATTAATGACAAAATTTTAAAAGTTCATGGATTTTAAAAGTATAAAGACATTCAATGTGGACTTTTGGAAATCTGTAAAAGTCTATGTGTATTCAATATAGATTTTTAAAAGTCTATAAAAATGTAGGCGTATTCTGATAAGTTTAGGCGTGTGAATGAAAACACCCTTGGATATCCGAGAAAGACACATCGTCTACTGCACGGAAGGAATTTATCACCCTTGGATTTTTTTATTGTGTGCAAAACAAAGAGATCCAAATACCCTCATATGATCAAAGTCAGGAACTTGACCTGTAAGCATTTCATACGGAGTCTTGCCATGCAATATTCCCGAGGGCGTTCGATTAATCAAATAAACCGCTGTGAGGACACATTCACCCCAGAACCGAATAGGTACATGAGCTTGGAACATCAAGGCACGAGCGAAATTTAAAATGTGACGGTGCTTACGTTCCACTCTCCCATTTTGTTGAAGTGTTTCTACACATGAGCTTTGCAATAATATCCCATTTGCATCAAAATAGGGAAGCATGCACTTAAATTCCGTACCATTATCGCTACGCACGATTTTCACAGGGACATCAAATCGAGTTTTAATCATAGCAAACAATGACAAAAAATACTTGTGGACCTCCTTATCCCTCAATAAGTAGACCCAAAAGGCTCTAGAAAAATGTAAGGAATATTTGTAATTAGATTTTGATGATGCTAGATTAATTAGGACTTTAGAGTACCCCTCTTTAGATTTAATGTATTAGATTTTCCTTTGTAAAATTCTTTAGCATAATCGACTGAGCAGAAGACCTACAGAACAGAAGACCTCCTAAAGCAGAAGGGCTCCAAGGGCAGAAGACCCTTGATAAGGCATTAGTTGAACAGAGGACCTTTGGTTCTCTGCTTCAGAACAGAAAACCTCAGGGTCTCTGTTAACCCTTACTCTGACAGAAACCCTCCTGGTTCTCTGTTGGATATCCTCTCAACAGAAGTGTGACGTGCACTCGTCGTTAGGTGCACTCAAAATAATTAATCAACACAACACTAATACGTAGTATAGTGTAGTAAGGTTCGTATCCACAGGGAAAGGAATACTTTTCTTTTAAATAAATAGTAACAAAGGGGGGTTTAGATTTGTTTGTTTTAACAACACTAAGATAAACAACCTATATGAGTTTAATTCAATGAGATGAAGACTTGGTTTTGCTTTTATCCACTTAATGAAATGTTCGTCGATCCCGGTTATATCTTTAACTATATTCCTCTCGAATACTCAATCGAGGAGTATATCCAGTTCATCGAGGGTAGTTATTAATAACGAGATGCGTTCATTAATAAAACTTACTATCGAGTCAATATAGAACAAGCGCCGTATATTAACTTGATAGTAGCAATAAACTTAAGATGAAAACGATTGAGATTGATAACCTCAACACAAGCGGTTTATTGGTTTAATCAATATAATTAATTCCCCTTGGCATATAAACCATGAGTTGCATGCATTAATATTCCAAGTTTACTTCCGTTGAAAGAACCGGATTAATAACAAGCGTATTAACCGATCGATTCTAGTAATAATTAATATGAGAAACAATACTAGTTGATACTTTAAGTAATGTTTAAGATATTAACATGAAATATGAATAGGAATTAATTAATACTCAAGGAAGAATATTAAAATATATGAATCCTACTATGATTAATATCAAGATGTTAACTAATTGTCATCTTAGTAACACTCCCCAATATTATCATAGAGGAAGAAATAGCTATTACTATAACCAATGTCAAGATGTTAACTAATTGTCATCTTAGTAACACTCCCCAACTTTGATATAGAGATAGTATTTTGAAAGAAAGAATTAATATTCAAGGAAGAAGATTAAAGAAAATAACTCACAACTTACAAATTCATTAAGCTTCAAAGTAGCAAAACCAAGATAAAAGAGTTTAGCTCCTCATTTGGAGACTAAACATGATGAAAAATATAAAGAAAGAACTATTCTATACTGAGCTTAGATGTACAAAGGGATTGGATATCTCTTTTGTGAAGGAAAGGAGGTGTATTTATAGGATTTTGGGAGCTAATTCGGGTACTCGATCGGGTATATACATGGTACCCGATCGAGTATGTGTGTAACACCCGATCCGAGGTATACTCGACCGGTTTCAGGATATTTTCTAAGAGTATACCCGATCGAGTATATATGAATACCCGGTCAAGTATGCTTAGAAAATGGTATTCGAACCATACTCGACCGAAATTCTTTTGAAATTCAAAGGCATACCCGATCGGGTATGTCGGTCTACCCGATCGGGTATAGACATAAAATCGTGGTTGAAATCTTCCCTGCATGTTCCTTTGTCTTCGGATCTGATCCGATTTGAAGTTCCAACCTAATACCCGATCGAGTATAGCTAATACTCGACCGAGTATAGACCAAAATTCAGGATCTTCTTTTGTCTTTGAACTTTTGCACCTTCTTTTCACTTTTTGGGTTCACCAACTGTACTTCGAGTGACCAAAACCTGCTTGAGCTCAGAATATATCTAATCTAACCTATTTACAAGATTTTAACAATCTAATCTATTACACCAAAAGTGTGTAATTTCCAAAGTAAAAGTCAAGCAAAACTAATTAAAAACATAAACATAAATATGGAAATTACGAACGTATCAAAGTGCTCCAGACCTTCTCTGATCAACTCTCTGTTAAAGACACCAGAAGGCCTGATACTTAGAAGAATTCCACAAAGCCGGGAAATCAACTGGAAGATTCCTTCAACGGCTAGGAGACTTGAACGGAAACGCTACAGTGCACGCATTAAATGCACATTTAATGCTCCCCATGCTCCGTAGAGTAATTGCAGATGATTGGCCGCAATGTCAGGATTACTTTATCCCAAAATAGTAACCCACAAACTTTACCGGGTCCTACTGGTCAAGTCAACTGCTCGCTCATTTAATGCAGTTGTCCTCCTTCTCCTCCAACAGGAAGACAACCTCAGTATAAAAGATACACTACGAAGAACAACCGGATAACTTTGCAAACTTTGCTAACCGTTGCTACAACTCTGCATACAAGAAATTCAAACGATACAAAGCAAAAAGCCTCCTTGAGATTAACACTTCATAATCCTCTACAAGAGAAGGCAGAAGTTGGAAAAATCCTTATTTCCAACTCAAGCAAAGTTCCAAGTGTTCTTCAACTCTTCAAGCTCATCACATACAAACTCTTTGTAACGAAGCAAGTTAGGGAAGCCGGAAGTGCATCCAAGAAGACATCTACACTTGAAGAAGACGTGGAGAGCTTCTTAAGTGATAGGGCTAAGGCATTGTAAACAGAAGTTTTTACGAGCTTAGTGGAACAGTGGACTAGAGGAACAAGTTGTTCCTTGAACCACTATAAAAAGCCCTGGTGTCATTTACTTACTACTTTACATTCATAGTTTTCATTTGAACTGTCTAACTCCAAAGACTTGGTATCTGTGTTCAGCAGAACTGGTCTTGTGAGTTAACAGAAGGCCTACTGCCTTTGCTTCTCTGAGGCTATTAACAGAACTCCCTACCAGAACCCCATCCGCTGCCAGTCTGTTCTGCCAACAGAACAGGCTATTCTGTTAAATCTGGTACTTAGCTTGAAAAAGTTAAAAACCAATACAGTCTATTCACCCCCCCTCTAGACTGTATCCAGTACAACCGGGACCAACAAGTGGTATCAGAAGAGGAAGAGGATCACAAAGACCAAAAAGAAGGTTGCTAAACCTGTGGTCACAATGTCTGAGGAAGTGGCAGACATTCAGGGGGAACCAGAGATCCCCACCTCTGTTGCCTCTCCTGAACATAATAAGGTGCCAACTTCAACAGAGCACCCCAGTACTGACAAAGAAGGGTATCTGTCCTTGCTGGATAGACAGTTTGCCCGGGTTTTTGAATGGAGAAGATGGAGAATGGGACCCCTTCTCAAAATCATCCAATTCTTTGATCACTATGAGCTTGAAGAAGAGGCCATCCTGAAGTGGGTAGGCACTGATGATGTCTCCAAATGCTTTACCCTCAACTTCCTTCATTCTGTCCTTGAAAAGAAGAAGGCAGGCTACAAGGGAAAGGTTGTCCTCATATCCTCACCCTCAGAGGAGACAGTCAAACCTCTAGAAGAAGGAGAAATAGAAGCTTTTGAAGAATGGCTGTTTGCCAAGATGGCAACAGAATCTGTTCAACCTAACTTCAACCCAGGAGAACACTCTGTACCAAAGACAGAAGGGCAAGTTATGATGGAACACATCAAGGAGTGGAGGACTT